ATATATATATATATATATATATATATGTATGTATGTATGTATGTGCGTCTTTTACTTACTTGTACCAATATCTTACACTGAGGTTTAACCTAAATCAATGCATTAACATTCCCCTCCTTGCTCCCCAGCCATTCACACAATAAATGTGTCTTTCTTTTTAGAGTACTTACATTATGCCATTTCTAGTGAAACACTGTTGACTTGCCAAAATGAAAGGATGATTAGAAAATAATACATAATATCTCTTTGCTGGATTTGAAGTTGATTATGAGTTCAATTAATAATAAAAAAGGTGAATTATGTGCCTCTTAGCAGTAACACAGGAAACGGATAAGGTGGGAAGCAACATCCTGTAGGGGGAAGAACACAGGTAGAGAGAATAAGATGTTAATGCTGAGATGGAGTCAGCTATATATGTAGTTATGTACTACACATACCCAAACAGTCATTGTAAAAGATCAAAGCATCTTCTGAGGATAACAAAAGAAGACACTAATAATGCAGTACAATTTCGATGTAACATTTCACTTCATCCAGAAAATAATACATGTGAATTCTACTTGAACAATACAAAGAATTCTCATACCAGCACACACATGTGATCCTACGGATCTTCCACTCCAGATTCGAATTGGAACTCAAAAAGCAGGCAGACACTGAAAAATTGGGGATGGGGGTCTAAAAAGACACCATTACTCAATCACCTCGGTGCTTGTTTGGTTTGCCATCAACATCACTTCCGCTTCAAAAACAATTGATTCTAATAGTATTTCATGTGTTTGGCTACTTTTGCTTCCAAAATAGTTGATTCTACATTATAGATTGATTGTGTAGGAAGTGAATTGTTCTTGATTCTGCATTATAAAATTGATTAGGTGTGTAACTAACCCATAAAGTTTTCAAAAATATATGTATAATTACATTTCAAAAGCAACTTTACTTCGCCATTCACACAATCAATGCTTCTAAGCTATTTTAAAAACATCATGGTCAAATACAAATTAAATCTTTTAACATCAATTCCACTAAAATATAAACTAAACTTCCAATTATTACATTACACTCATGAATAACACTGACCAATTAAACACAAAAAGGCATCAAAGAACCATAACAATCACATGAGTTAAGATTGAGAATAAAACCTTAGCATCCATCATCTGCTTCAAATGCAGTAACATACGAAGAGCCTCTTCTTTGACCGAAGAGAGCTCCTGCTGGAACATAACAGCTCTTCTTTCGGACGCCATTACCCGACCCGCAGCCTCCTTCACAGTATTCAGAATCACATCCGCATATGCCTTCTTCAAAGCCACCATTTCCTGCACAATCAAACACGCCATTACTAGAAGAACCATATTCATCAAAACTCGATTTACAAACAGAAATACACAAAGCACAAAACTTAGATACAATTAGAGTTTCACATTGATAGCTTATGCTGACATTGAATACAAACTTATATTCAGCAAATTGTCAAAAAAGTAAAATTTCAATTCTGATTAGATAACATCGCTAAAAACAATTAAGCTGACATTTAATACGAACTTCCATTACACAAATTGTCAAAGTAAAATTATAATTCTCATCAAAGAACAACACTAAAAACACAATTAAGAAAGTGTAAATAAAAACCAAAACAACCAAAATCAAATTTTGAAGACATGGGTTTGTTTGATAATGGCAACACAACAGACATCGGAGATGGCAAATAGTGACAATGATGTTAGGTAGTTAGGTCGGTTTTTTTTTTTTTTTGGATGGAAATTTCAAATTTTGAAGAGAACCCAACTTACATGAGATTGGTGTTGATGCATTGGAGTGGAGAATTGAAAATGGGGGTTGTCGAGAGGCTCCGTTTGTGAGGTGAGAGAGGATTTTCTCTTTCCTCCCTCCATCGCTGCTGCTGCTCCTCAAGCGTTTTTGCACAAATATTATCAGCACCTCCGCCATCTCCCACCCACGAGCATCATTTAAACGAATGAGGGAAGGAGGAACAGTGCACAAATGGCGCCTGGGGGGGAGGCGCGTTCAGTGCATGCCACATAGGCACACATGGCGCCTGGGGGTGGGGCGTTGTGCATGGCGCCTCCCCCCTGGGCATTTTCTTTGCACAATGCCTCAGCATGGATGGCGCCTGGGGGGGAGGCGTTTTCAACACAAACGTGCCACGTGTGCATGGCGCCTCCCCCCTGGGCATTTTCTTTGCACAATGCCTCAGCATGGATGGCGCCTGGGGGGGAGGCGTTTTCTATAAAATGCCCAACCCCCAGGCGCCATCCATTCCCAATCAGCGCTGACATGTCCAAAACTACCTATTTTGATAAATTGTTTTTTTTTAATTTATTTTGTGTATTTTTATTTTTTTTTTAATTACTTGGGTCAAAAAGCCCATTCCTTTAAGACAAATGGGCTTTGTTCATTTAATTGGCATGGTTCTTCAATTCCGAAATCTATACTCCTTAAAGACACATGACATTTGGTAAATTAATTAGTTGGCTCTTCAATTTCAAAATTTATTCAATTTGTCGGTACTTATTACACTTCATCTTTTATAATATGAAAAATGAATGTTAGGTGAAATATGGTTAAGGGTCTCTTCACATAGATGATCCTCCCTTGACTCATTCTTAACTAATTAGGAAGTGGAATATCATTACTCACTATTGAATTTTCAACAATGAATTGCGTGAAATGAAGACGTGCCAAAATCTATATTCTTGACATACTTAGAATTTCAGAATTGAAAAAAATATTTCAAATTTTTTGGTGAGGCAGAGACCAAGTTTTTGTTCTGTTTTACTAAATCTTTCGTTACAAGTTTTGATGGTTTCTTTCGTCTTAGTATTGTTAATGGAGATTAATATTTCAATTGATTAGCATTAGAATCATCATGCAGCTCAATTCAAAGAAAAATTATCATCACGTGTTCATGGTCAACTATTTTTCACGTTATATATAATCTAGTTTTTTTAATTGATCAAAAAGAGTTAATAAAATTTGGTTGTGTCATGTACGTAAAAATTGATTTAGGTTATAGTAGTCTCAAATCATACAATAATTTCTCTCGTTTGTTTTGCAATCAGAATCAATTCCTCTTACACATCTAAATTATGATTAACATTTTCAAATTAGTTTTGTCAAAATTAATTAAAACAATCAAAGCCCAAAATTCTGTTACCACACTGCAATGAGACTTGCTTGGTCAATTTTGTATGGTCTAAATACAAGAAAGCCTTGCATTCTGGTAATGATGAATCGTGGCATGTTTTGCATAGAAATAAAAAATAAAAAAAAAAGAGAGAACTTGGGAACACAATAATCTGATTATTCCTTTTTATATTTGTTATTTTAGTAGATTGCATTCGTTTTAGATCAGTGATATATGTATAATTCACAATATGTTGTAATTTTCTTCTGAATTGGAACATAGATTTTTCATATTAAACCTAACATCCAGCTTGATTATCAACAGAAATTGTATTTACTATTTACCATGCCTTGCCATCTAATTGTTGGGAACATTTCCCAACACTAATAACAACCTTCCAAATCCTTCTATCCAAAAAAAAAATGCTGGGTTTTAGGAACAGCAATTATGTGTCATTTTTGTGAGGACCATGACCTGGCTGAAAATTTGTGTCACCCCTTTAATATAAAGTTTTATTTGCATGTGTTAGCAGCCATGTACATCCTTTGTTAACAATGACAATAAGGAAGAGTTTCCATCTTCATCTCCTTTGTTCCCCCCCTGCCACAATTAATGGGAATCATGACTTTAGAATAAGAACCCATTTTTTATATAGACAATTTGATTTTGTTAACATGAGTCCTTTGTTAGCAACACCACCTGTAATTTTATCTTAAAAGGTTATTTATTTCTTTTCTTCACACTTTTGTATCCTTAACATCAATCCTATATACATGTTAAGAAAATCAACTTCGTTTGGTGGATTTAAACAATAACTCTTACATAAAGCACTGAGAACTTACATTGTTGGGATTTAACAATATTGTTTGTGGGATATTTTCCAACTCCATTAATCCTCTACTAGAAGATTTAATCTCAATTTGTGTAGAGAAAAGTGCTGAAACAGGTCGATGATCAGAGAACTTGCTTTCACCCCGAAAATAGTGAAGTTGCTCCACTCCTTTACCATACCAAAGAATTCGATCACACCTGCATGCCCACATAAAATTAAGCAACCACTTGTCTTATTTCTTTCACTAATTACATTTTTGTCCACTATTATTCTCATTTTTGTGATTTTCTTCACAATTTGACCCCTATTATTTTAATTGTGTACAATAAAGTGTGACACCAATATTAAGTTTTATTATTATCAGTATATACACACGTACCATGCTGGAGTTCTTTGTTTTTCCCCTGATCTACTTGGGAGGCTACCACAGTATCTATTGGTAGTGGAAGATGAGTATTTGTATGTGGGGGCAAATTCTATGTCACCTTCTTTCCAACCCTCGAATACTCCACCTTCTTCAAGTTCTTTCTGAAGCTGATCATACTCTTGCAATGCCTTCCAATCTTGCTTTCTTATCAAATGTCTTGCAAAATTGTCCTCCGAGTATAACCTATAGTTCAGGTCCCCGAACCAGAATATACGGCTGCATGGTGCAAAATTAAATTAATGCAACATATATGGTTAACATGTGTTAGAGTTAATTAAATTCATGTGTTTTATCAACAATAGAGTAGCATAGTGACTTCCTTTTATGAAGCAAGCTAAGAGTTTTGTAGCAGGTAGTAGGGATTTCGAGCTATGTTCCTCAATTTAATTAACATTACTGTGGCTACCACACAAGCTATGCTTTTTAGTGTACTTATTAGACTTCTCATAATTGAAAATGACCTGCTGTACCAATGTCACAACTACATCATTCAACACTTTATCACAACTTCCATTACGCAACTTCAGCTAAAATTTAAAATCATATACTCAATTATTGGATCTTACTAATTACAACCTGTGTGGTGGTATCTTAATTTTCAGGTAGGTTTTGTCTTAACAGGCAACCCTGAAGATTCTCTCATACACCATTCAACTCTTTTTCTTTCTCCTGCTGA